TTAATCGTAAAAAGTGAATCTAATCTCGTTTTTACCAAAAACAGACACTATTTCAGTGACATTTCCGCAACTAACATAGCTGCACGCGCTGCAGTTGAGCTGGTCGGACATTTCAATGGTCGTCTATACTGTAGAGAGCAGATGAGTCACAGTTCCATTTTCAATAAAGTTCTGCAAATAATTTAATCTTGATTTAATAAATCGGTCGCAGTTGATGGAACGTGTTTACACGGACTTCAATCAATACTGAACCACCGAGTCGGTCAAGATGACCGATATCATATTTTTCACTTAAAAGTTATTGAAATCATGAACTCTAATTCATGGAAAATAACTGAAACAATATCTTCATTCAAGCATACATTATAACGAAAATAGTGTAAATTCTAAATACAATCAGTCATGTATTCGTGTTCTGTAAGATTATTAAGTTAAAGCACTGCGTAGCGTTAAGTACTCAAGATACCATCGTCACAAGAAGAGTTTCCAGATGGTATCCTACCTTTTCAACCTAATTAGGGAAGTTGTAAGAGCGCGGTTTGCTCATGTACAATTTTTAATAAGTGAACTGAAGATCTTTATACAAAGTGATCATTTAGAGCATAGATTAGGGAAAAACAGGAACTGCAGAGCAGTAACGTAACCGAATTCTTAAAGTGTTTAGTGTCGTCCATTCCTTTCTATGACAAACCCATGCCGGGACAAAAAAGAAAAATATATTTAAAATTAACGTAACTTTTATTTATTCAACATTACAACCAATGTGTTGTTTCTATACAATCTTGCAAAATATCACTATAAATATATACAAATGAAATAGAATTACATTTCGCCAGTCTAAATAATTTTATGAAAAAAAAGAATTTTATGGAAATACAGTAAGACTAAAAAATCTGTTACGTTTTCGAGAAAATCAAGATTAAAAATTTGCTAAGATACGGTTCTCCGAGTGACGTAAATCGCCTATATAGTCGGAAGGGTGTATGTAGAAAGCAAATTTTCAAACTTGATTTACCCGAAAAAGAAAAATTTTCTTATAAGGATTCACTCGGTGCCCGCTTGTACATAGCTTCAAGAACATCCTGTACTTTTTGCAGAAGTAGTAAAAGAATATTTTCCTCGAGAAAAATATCGCGTTTTGGATTGTCCAGTAAGGTCAAAATTGTTGCCACATGAAAAAAATGTTTTCAAGATAAGTGGGAGTAATTAGAGCAAAAATTTATAAATCTTTGCCAAAGATAATGATGACTGTTAACAACCGTAAAGGTTATTTACATAAAAATTCTTTTTTTTTTTAAATAAAATTATTTAGATTTGCAAAATGTAATTCTATTTCATTTTTGTAAGTTTATAGTGGTATTTTGCAAAATTGTATACAAACAAAATCTTAGTTGTAATATTAAATAAATAAAAATTACGTTAACTTTAAAGTGTGCTATCTTTTGTTCCGAACGGTAAAATACGCAGCCTGTCTATACGAAAGAACTATCGAGAGTTAGTCATTTTAATGTGTAGTGTCATTAAATTTCCATGTATTGTATAAAGTAATTGATTCTTTTCGGTCCTACAGAGTATGTACTCTAGAAATATAATGAGATGTTACTTAAACAATTTCGATATACCGTTTTGTTTAGGCGAAGAATACGCTTCTACAATGTTTATGGTGTATGTTAGAAACCCGAGTTATCTTGATGAATGGATCGATCGACTCTAAACATTCAATAAGCAGAAATTGCGAAGAATGATGCTGGTCTTATGCGCGGGACATACAATAACCAGTCTATAAAGGTCGATTCACATCTACGTGCCAGGCTCGGGCGTGCTTCAAGGCCGACCAAGGCCGAATCATCCTTACATTTGATTTATCATACATTGGAGTGTTCACACTATGCGTGCCGTGCTCGCGGCGTGCCAGACCGTCCGGCACCGTCCAAACGTGTCCGCACATGCAGGCAGGCTCGGGCCAAACTTGTTTCGTCACTAATCAAAACAAAACGAGACGGAACTACGAAACTGTTACCATGTGGACAGAGTGCGCAATCTTTCGTGCACGCGTTGCCGACAAATACTTTCTCGGCCTGCTTTTTTTTTTTATTAACGTGGGGGTAATGCGGGGTTTGACCCGCTAAAACCCCCACGGCGGCCTAGGGCGCTGGCGATTAGCGGGGGAGCCACGGGAACTCTCAAAGAACACAACCGCGGCTCCCCCTCGCCTGGCCGGCCACCAAGATGGAATGGCGGTGGCCGGCCGCGTCCCGGGTGGGAGATTTATCCCCCCCCCCCCCATGAATCATCTTGATTCGGTGGTGCGGGAGACCGCACCACACACCGCTTCGTCACTCCCAATATGGGGAGGACATCTTCAGTTGGCGGGCGGCGGGCAATTAAACCAGCATAATCTGGTACACCCGCCGCCCGCCTATTCTCAGCTGCTCGGGGGGGGGGCTCTAGGCGTGGGCGCACACGCCGCACCCCCCGCTCACGGCGACCCCGCTCGGCAGCCTCCTTCTGCAACATTACCTGTTCGCAGAAGGCGATGGCTGCCGCCCATTTTCTCGGGCTCTCCAGCATGGCCCCAACTAAGCTGGAGAGAGCGAGGTCGCGACCAACTTCCCTTCTTAGGACTCGGCGCAGCACTGAAAAGGCGGGGCATACCTCCAGTGTATGCTGCGCCGAGTCCTCCTCCGCGCCACAGTGGTGGCACACCGTCATCGCTTCCCAACCGATGCGACACAGGTAGACACCGAAGCAGCCATGCCCGGTGAATACCTGCGTCGCACGGTAGGAGAGCCTGCCAAACCGCCTCTCCCGCCACGAGGTGAAGTGTGGCAGGAGAGCCCCGGGGACGCGCTCACCGTCATGGGAACAAAGCTCCGCATGCCATCTGGCGAGCGCTAGTCCCCGGGCCCGAAGCTCGAAGCACTCGACCGCCTCCTGCTCCGGCGGGTCCCCCCGAGCCCGGCCGGCGATGCATATGCGCCTATACATATAGGCGCGCATCGCCGCCTGCAGCTCGAAGGGAATTTCTCCCGCCAGAGCAAGCGCCGCCACGATAGACGTGGTGCGGTAACCCCTTACGAGGCGAAGGGCCATTTGCCTCTGAAGCCGGCGCAACACATTGCTGCGCCCAAATCGGGGCGCCGTATAATGCCACGGACCGCACCACGCCTAGGTATAGGCGACGCACCATATCGCCCGGTCCCCCGAGATTGGGCAACAGGCGGTCTAACGCAGCCACCGCCCTCTCAACTCGGGGGACGAGGCGGCCGAAATGCGCTCCGAACCTCATATCGTTCCGATACTTCCATCTAGCTGTTTTTTTTCAAAAGTGTCTACAAAACCGATCCTGGGTAAAGTTTTCGTGCTGGACATAGAACTCGCAAAAATACAAAAATATTGCGGAGAAACTACGCACGTCGGCACTTTTTTAAACTTCGACGTTAATGTATAGTTATGTAGGACCAAAAAGGCCGATTGGAACTTCCTAAAATTTTTACTTTTTATGCAATACCCCATTTTTGTCGAAAATACTGGGTTTCTACAAGAGCTCGTTTTTTTTCGAAAACTGAGAATGATGGAGCAATTCGGTTTTCGGATTCTTGTTCGGGGAGTGAAGCTCTACAAGAATTTCATAGTGGCTATAGGAAATCAAAAATCGTGACGGACAGTGTAATTAGCGGCTTTTTTACGAGTTATTAACGGAAAACAGTGACCAATGAGCGAACGAAGCCCAGTTTCGCTCATTGGCTTGGTTGGCTCGTGCCAGCTGACCTCGCCTCTCATTGGTCAGTTTTCCGTTAATAACTCGTAAACAAAGCCGCGGATTACATTTGCGCTAAGGAAATACAGTAAATTCTCCTTAATTGACGATCAGCTTGGAAACAAAAATGGACAATTTAGGAAAGAAGTACGATTAATCGAGCTTTGCTGTTCACTTTTATAATTGTTGACAATCGGTAACTATGAAAACGAGCCGCAAGGCTCGAATAATTGTACCTCCTTTTCCCAAATTGTCCATTTTTGTTTCCAAGCTGAGCGTTAATTAGGGATAATTTACTTTTCGGACACCCTGTATGTGAAGATAGATACTTGTGGCGTTAAAATCCAAAATATATCATAGTCCTCAACGCCCCCATACTATTTGTGGTACACTTCATGTATAAAGATTCGGATAATTGGTTTGGGCAGTGTATTCCTCCCTACATGAAACAAATCGTAGCTTGTTAAAAGTCTATAGACTGTAACATACGGGGAATCTTCCCACGTATTTTTTATATTCCTTCCTGATGGCATACGCCAGGCTGGCGCCAGCCAGCCGGGGGTGGATTTGTATATCGTGAGACGAGTACCTCCGAGGGGGTACGACGACGAACGTTCTGGAACCGGACCACGTAGCAACACCCCCACTACCATTTTTCTACAAAATTTTAGTATATAAAGGGCTCAAACGCGACCGGGAATCGGGCTAGTTTCGTGACATTCGTCGAGACGCAAACATTAGCAAGATGGAGTTAAATTCTCTTTTAACCAAATCTTCGTGGTAACAACCTAGAATCGAAAGCCCCCGCCGGCTCAGTGCGAAAAACTGAGAGCGCGTTTAGAGTCCGCAAACACACACTCACACTTGTTAAACTCAGCGCGCAATAAATAAATTAGTTTCTACCAGTTTTTTGGTTTCTACTTCAATTATTACCATCTCCTGCTTCGAACCAGTAGTAGGTAAGAACCCACCAAGGTATACCTCAGCCGCTCGAGGTATATCCTTATTTCTTTTTAACAAAGTTACGAGACACCCTAACACCAATTTCTCCAACCACCTTATCCTAACCCCTTTGAAGGTAGCCATCCGTGTCGATATAAACATCGGCTAGTCTACGCACCTCATCCTAACCTAAAAGGTAGCCACCCGTGTCGCAATAAACATCGGCTGGTCTACGCACCTCATCCAAAAAGATTCCAATAGCATGCAACCTCCGGCCACCCAAACTGCCTGGCCCTCGGCTCGTAACAAGACGTTCGTGAAAAAAGAACGTTTTCTAAATCTATTGCAAGAAAAATGTACTTCATTTATTCAGTAACTTTTATTAATAATTCAATTCCTTCTATTTCAATTTCTTTCTTAGATTAATGAAATTAATTTAGATTAACTTTCTTTCTCTCATAATTTTACTAAGATAAAAGTAATAAAACGATTGTAAAATAGTAAAAGTGCGTCTTCTACATAGAAATCTTGTAAAGTAGGTTTCGTATACTCACACTGCACATTTACAATATAAGAGACATCTTCATCAAGAGCGAATCAAATTTTCGATCGAAAATAGTAGTGAAACCAAACTTCTTATTCTGCACAATGTATTTTATTAAACAACCTTCCCCATACTAACTGTTCATATTATCCATCACGAAGCCTACGCAATTGTACCAAAACAAACAACCATTTATCTTTACTATGACTAGACTGCTCTGTATATATTCATATACAAAAACTTTNAGGATTTGTCTTATAATTTTATCGCGGTGTGTATGTTGTCACGTCCTGCGACTAAAGTACACCCGAATTCGGTAAGCTCACGCCTTGCCGGGTCGAGAAAAATTTTGAGCGCTCGGCCCTTCAACTTTAAAATCCGAAAATGATCAATCACGAAATACGAATCAAATGTTCACAAAAGACAACAAAAGACACAAAAAATTATAAACTCACCACGAACGAGAATCACAGCTCGCCAAGACAATCGAAGACAATCGAATAAGCACCCGTAGAAACAGAAACTGAAAGTAAAAATAAACGAACTGTGATTGCACTTGCGACTGGTCTTAGCTAATACTATTGTACCGCACTGTCTAGAACCTAAGATTTAACTGACGCGATGGCCCAGCGAACGTAGCCATCCCCGCCAACAAGTATCCCCATACCATTCAGTCGCTGTGGTGATAGCAATACACTGGTGGAAAACGCGAAGCAAACGTGACTGCAATAAGCATCAGCGCGCCAGCGGGTACAGATAGGAAAGGTATGCAGCGAGATGAGGCACGAAGACTCGGTCTCACGAAGCAGACGTGACTGCGATAAGCACCTGCGCGTCAGCGGATGCAGATAGAAATGGAATGCAGCGAGACAGACCGCGAAGTAGAACCGCTCAGTAGGACCGCTCAGTCGCACGAGAGCCCCCACCTGTTTGACCACTGACTGCGCTCTATAAAAACACTGGCGAGGACCACAGTAGTCAGTCTATCAAACAGAAGTCAAAGAGTTCGTTACGTTTCCACACAAAATCTTCAAATTAATTATCAACGTCGAATAATATACATTAAGGTAACTTATATAAATATTGTAAAACTCAGTGCATGGTTTAATGTTCTAACGCCGACTTTGTATTATTAATAAATTGAATTGGTTTTTGTAAATTAATTCAAACTGTATTCGGACGTTTCAATTTTACTAAATATCAATCGATCAAGTGTGATTCTTATTATTTACCTCTCAGGACTGGCATTTATCCTGCGTCCAAGTGACGCTTATACGTGCCAACCTCTCTGCGTCCAAGTGACGCTTATACGTGCCAACCTAGCTGCGTCCAAGTGACGCTTAAGGTAAATGATACTGAGAGGTGGATAATAAGAATCAATATATATATTATCGAAGGGTCCATGCATTGAAAAAGGAATTCTATGTTAAATTTGAACAACGGCTACGTGACATCGGAAGGGAACTGGCTGAAGAGTCTCTGAAACCTAATCCGATCCCGGACTCTCCCCCGTCTGTAGAGATTTACGACCCAGTGTCGGCTAAAGAACGGGCCAATGACGACAATATCGAGATACTGTTTGAAAATGAAAATCAACACGACCCTGATTGG